CGAGACGTCCGAAAACAAGCGATGTCATCTCATGAGAAAACTACAATGCACAGGTAACCTGGTTTTCAACCTGGGTGCTGGCCACACCCAGATTTCATCACGCTAGAGAAACTCACTGTATATGTAAACCAATCGCCGTGCTAGAAAGAATCCTTGCGACGTAGCAGCAAAAACATGTTGAGATGATGTTGCAGTCAACACTCCAACCTCCAGCAGCCAACCTTTACAGCAAACTTACTCCAAAACTCCAAAGAGAACTGTCAATAAATGTGTCAGGTCGTCATGTCATGTCATGTTGACCAAAACCAACAAAAACAGTAATACGAGGAAGTTTATGTTAGTTTCAAGACCCATCCAGTGAGTTGATCAAATCAAATGCAATCAAATGCACCCTGACACCCCCACCGATCCTCCAAAAACAAAAACACCCACTTTCGCACTGCTGGGATGGCGTTCAAACGCCTTCCCAGCCGATCCACCTGCATTGTAAAGCTGGTCGAAGTAGGGCAAGTGCGAGAACACGCCTCAGCTTCGACAGGGTTGAACAGGGTTGAAGCGAACCTCAACAATCGTTGATCCGCACCAGTGACAATTCTGTGACAATCATGGATGTCATGCTGCTGGAAGTGCTTCCAGCAGCTCCATGGTCCATTCCGCTGTTGTCCCAGCCGTCCACACAGCTGGGACTCCCAAACCTTTGAAGCCCCGATAGGGTAAGCGGTACAAGCCGTTGCGGAGCCCAGGCAGGCCTGAAGTCAGTGCTGAAGTCAGTCCCAAATTTCCTCCTCCAGTTCTGGTTCAAGTTCACTTATTTTTTTTTTAAATCATGTTTTGTCTATACTATATACTATAGCGTTATATATATATATATATAATTATATATATATAGCGTTCAAAGAACGTACGATCCACTGCTCACTGCTCACCGTGAAAAGACTTTGAGCTCTCGCCACATCGGACTCGAACGCCACATCCAGTCATCCGGTTGCTCGTTGCTCGTTCGCTACTCGCTACTCGATTCTCTCACCTTCGCTACTCCCTTGTGGCCGAGCCTGAGAGTGGGGGCCAAAGTCGTGCTTTGAAGATCCGGTACTTGCTGAGCAAAGCCAATGCCTGCGGAGCGCCCATCGTTCGGTCCACCGGCCGGAGCGCTTTCCGAAGCGTTCGGTGGTCCAATCAATATCCACCATAATACTTTGGGACAATACCAAGTAACAGCTAGTGGAAAATGATGGTGAGCAAAAGGCCTTGTTCAATACCAATCAAACCTAGTGATAATATGTGATAATTGCTTACTAACTGTTACAGGAACAGGACAAACCCAACACACATATATATATATATACACTGTAAGCCTGCCAACTCTGGCGTCAATGCTAACAGCTCCTGAATGAATGAAACATCTGCAACAGCCTTGGAAAAACGGAAATAAATGGGCTGATATGAGCTTCAACCAGGCCTCATGCACAGTGTGAAATGCATGAAATAAACCCCATGGACGAAAGCAAAGCAGCAGCACATGTCTGTTGCTCAATAGTTATAAATAGCGACGACTAATTATATACACAATCTCGGTGATCACCTCTTCTATTCGGTTTGTGGAGGACGTGAACGCAAGTTGCTTCCAGGCGGCCAAACACTGGCAAAGTATAAAATGAAACGTGCAATATACAGAATCAACTGCTCAATGTACCAACAAGGCACGTCTTTCGTACCACTACCTACACGTCGGATCTCTTGCATAGCGGCGCAAGGCAAAACTGGATGTTCATTGGTCTGCCACACACTCTCTGAGGAGCCCCGGCGGCCAAGATCGCCAACGGGGCCATGATGGGATTGAAATCCAATCCTGACGTAAGCTGCTCGAGAAACCCAGTTCTTGAAGAAAAGGGTGGTAGCCAGTCACTGCGAAGTTGATCACTGCGAAGTTGAATTCTTGGAGATATCAACATTGTGATAGGCTGATAGAAAACAACAAAAATAACTCATACTTAGGATGGATACAATAGAACTCCAGCTCAAAGCAAGGTTTCTAGGTTTCAAGAGAGGAAGGCCTGTGAAACAGATTGGACCTGGACGCAAGGGACCCACAAAGAAACGATGGCTGTGTTCCAACACATTGGCTGCCAACCTTGGGTCACAATGTCTCAGAACTTCTCTGAGCAAGTTGATGGGTGCTATCTCTTTCATTTCTTTCCGGAATCTCTGCTTGTAGCCGATGGAGAGATGTCGGATATTTTTGCTGATATGTGTCAAGCTGTGGTCCCCAGGATTCTGGCTCATGCCCAGATTTGATAACACCTCTGCCCAGTCTTGTTGCATGGATGAGAGCGTCAGGGCCCGCACCAGACAGTGAAAACATCTTTCCTGGCCCAAGCGATGCAAAGTCCGGGTCAAGTTATCATTGTCTCATCAGCCATGTGGTAGGATAGAAGAATGGGCTATCTTGAACTCATTGCTTTAAAGATCTTTAGGCATCAATTCCTATTATCGTTTCTTCGCCCACCTGTAGGGCTTGGTGAAAGGTGCTGGCCACTGTGTTCACGTCTCTCCCGGATGACGCAACGAACGGGTCAACGGCGTTGAACGGCGCAACGGCGGCGTCAACGAACGGAGAATGGTCACATCTACCGCCATGATCCAAGTGCAATGCACGAATACGAATGACCCTGATGCCATAGGTCAATCTCTTCTTTCGGATAATCCAGGATCATTTGCGCGAGTCAATTCATTACGCCCATCCTTTGACTGACCCTGTGGTTTCGCTGGCAACCAAAGCTTAATCTTTTTGGCACCGAAATCACCCCTGCGCAGGTGAACAAATGTTTGAGGAAGTCCAGGTAGTGCTTCAAAACAATCCAGGCCAGGGACAACGAGAGATGTCTTTAGAGAAATCCGAGCAAAACAACTGAAGCTTCCGGAATTCAAAAGCCACTGTCTGGCGGGAAGAAGACGCTTCTGAAACTGTTATTCTCATCTGTTCCCGGTTTTATGTGTGCATGGACATAGTATGACATAGTTAGTCTTGAATCAATGTTTGAGCCATACTTATTTCTAGTTGGTTGCCAACCACGTTGAACATGTCACCCGCTCAATGATGTCAGCAGTCACAAATCAAGAACTTAGGACGGTAAGGATCTAGCCAGTTGTTTACCTCTCCGGAACAAAAAGACTTTCCTATACGTTCCTAAAACATCCTAAAACCATTTGCAAACAAATTGTTCTGATGGCTTTAATTGATTGATATGCGGAAGGGGATTTCGTATCTTTGTGTTAAGATGTGTTAAGATCGGTTGAGATGTTCCAGGACTTGAACATTTTGCCCGTTCTACAACTAGCTGATAAAAAGAAACCATTCAGCCAACCAGCACCAATCCAGCAGTTCCATTGCCCATTGCCCACTAGAAGGTTACAAAGTAAAAGAGATCCTCCATTGCTTCTATTCTTCGATCATGTTCAACAGTGGTGTCCGGTTCACATTCCACAAAAAATCCCACGGCAAACCACAATATGCCTCTGTTACCTTACAGTTGCTTTTGCCGCAAAAACCGTTTTGCAGTGGTTTGGGTTGCTGAAACGTCTGTGGTGCACAGTAATGCAATGTAATGTGCCAAAATTGCGCAAAGTATCACGTGCTGTGGAAAACCGTGGGTTTTTGAGTCTAGTAATGGGGCATGCTTCTCACAGAATACACATGCTAAAGACATGTTTCTCGGGAGCAGAACTTTATACTTTATCAAGCAAAAAACAAGGCCATATCTTGTCCTTTGTGCTTGATTTCTTGGTCCGTATATCTACTTGAGTATCTACTTGATTGATCCTCACCGGTCAAAGCTCTTCGGGTGGCACGTGCCCAGCCTAAGGTGAGCTTCGGTGGGCCTCAGTAGAGGCAATCAATGAATTGTTTCACCACCTGCATATATGTATTGTATGTATACGTTGGATTAAAATGTGTCCAAAAGAAGTAGCAATGATTTAAGAAACACCACACACACATAAACAAAAGAAAACATCTCACTATGATTGAACACGAAACGGTGCGACAATTCACCAGCCAACTCATATTGCCGAAACTGGCACGCGTGCCCGACCGGTGTCGCGCTTCACTTTTCCGAATCCAACGTGCCCGACGAAACGCACTGCCACTCTCGTCTAACGGGCTTTGCCCATGTGAATTCTTGCGACAGGGTTTCAACGTGCGAAGATTTTCTTTGAAAGCCTCCTTCAAAGTAGCCGAACAAAATGCCCACATGTAGGAGCTGATTTCCACGGGCAGCTGCAGAACATGGCCACAAATTGCTTGCGAATGGAGACCCATGACAGCAGCAGAAATTCTGGTCAGGTGCTATGTCAATTTCCTGGCCATCCTTTTTCTTCCGCCCCTCGTGCATGACAACTCCACATGCTTCAAATCACGGACAAAGACACGTTGTTTAAAAGTTAAAAGAAGCTGTGTGGCCGCTGAGGTGGGCAAACAGCAAATGGGTCAAAAGTGCGCATGTCATTGGTCATGACACTGTTCCTTCGAACTCCCCCGAAATTGCCCCCAAAGGAACAAATTCTTGGAGAACATGACATGGTCAGCCAACTGGAGCAGCCCTGCATGAGAAACTACCATTTTAATCCATTTTATACCATTTCGAGCCACGGTGTTGTTGTGACATCCGCAGGAGAGAAAGTAGAACAAATGGGGAGAGAAGCCAGGGCTATTCTGAGCTGCAATATGTTACAGTGATCGTATCTATTCTGCACTCATGTGTTGACTCCTCGCCCCTGGCAAACATTGGCAGGGAAAAGAGCGATAGACTATAGAGTCTTTTGCTCCTGTGACTTTGTGTGGTGAAAACAACCGCATACAGAAACTTGAGGATGGTGAACCCATGACTGAGGTGAGCGCTGTTCGAAAGGCGCTGTTTGATTCTACCGGTTCAGTCTAGGCACTCACGTTCAAGCCATGGCTACGCAGGTTTCGTCCTCGTTTTGAACTAGCTAGCTTAGTAGGCTGAGTGTCTGGACTCAGCGACATGCTTTGACCCATAGAACAATCACTCACCTGATCGACAGGTGACTCAAATGCCACTTGGCCCAAACCCGCCAAGCGAGCAGGGTGGCCAAACTCACGAGCAAGCCCCACAAGCAAGTGGCGATCAAGTCGTCACCCATGAGGTTCACAAGCACCTGGGCAGTGTGAGGTGGAGCAGCTAATGTACAGGTCCACCCTTAACAGAAAACCAAACAAACATCACCAAGAACATGAGGCCCGAGATGGGAGAAACCTTCCTCCGTGGAGTTTGATGCCACCTTGAGGCGGAGATTGGTTCTAAATCTAATCAACACATATAGTAATACATTAAATCATGTAGCACTGCAACCTGTAAAAAGAACCTGCAGTGAGAACTGGTGATTGGTCAGAAATCGTCGAGCTGTCGCCTCAACCAGGTTTTCTCAGGAAAGCACCGGACCATCGCCGCAGAAACATCAGTGCCTAGCTTCACCGAAGGGTCTCTCGCCTGCGGGTTGGACCACTTCGGTTCGCGAAGATGCCACCAAAGGCACTATACGGATGAGGTAGAGAGGCAACACCAACACCACCTGCGCTCGGACTGGTGGGAGCCGAGGACGCGAGCCGAGCTTGCCGGTGGACCACAGTCTTGCAACAAGAATTGAAGAGCAACCAAAAATCCTCACCCTCTTCAGGGTGTGGCCGATCAGTGTGGGCTTGTGTGGGCTTGTATTCTCTGCAGATCAGCCACTACCAAGCTGGCCCCCAACACTGTGACCATGTGGTCCATGCATTGATTCTTCCTCTGGCCTTGGATCGAGCCACAACGGCGGACCTCCACCGGACCGGCACGGGAAGTCCCGAGCACGGGAGTTCTCCAAAAAAATGGAAGCATCTTGGAGAAGGGAACAAGTTGGAGAGAACTGTTTTGATGGGTATGTCTCTGGCAATCTCAAACCTGCTACCCTTTTTTGCCCCAGCTTCATGTGTGTGTGAAGTTCATCGAGCAAATAGCAATGAATATGACCACTAGCTCTACTTCAAATCACGAGTTCGTGGATCCACTGTACCAGTCGTCTATAAGGTCTCCATGAACACCAGTCGACCTCTTGTTTTTTAGAAGAGCGTTTCATGCACGTTGACATCAAGTCTTTGGGGCTCATGAACGACCACCATATGTCTATAGGCCGCAAACGTTCAAATCAGCCCATACAACAGCCCACCAATGATCGAGTCCTACCCCAGAGCGGTCAAGCAGCGGGGATTCGAAGACACCATGAGGCACAAAAGGGCGCACAAGGGGATGAGGCCGAACCACCACCTAGGCACTGACCGGTGAGTCCAGTCGTGAGTCCTGTGGCGGTTCCTACAAACAATCTGATAAGCGGTGTTGTTTCTGGGTATGCTATGATGTTCCCGCTACACCTCAACTCCTATAGCAATACATAGCATAGCATAAACCTCGTACTACATTCTTGTGCATCGTGCCCAACATCTATTTGTCCCCCGCCCACTATTAATGTCTTTGCTGCAAAGCCTTTGCACGAGTTGTGCTCGAAAGAAGAGATCAGTTCCAGCATGGGTGGGGGCCGTTGTGAACGTACGCGCGGTCCCCCCGGAGTTGGGCGTCGCCGATGTGGCGTTTCGCCTGTCAGAAAAGAAGTCAATCTCCATGCAATCATGATCTCCAGGGATCTCCACGGATCCGTGTATTGTGTATTGCTGATGGAGGCTTCCCTCGTTTCTTTGATCAGATCTCATGAAACATGGTTTCCGAACAAGATCGATCGCGGGGAACTCAAAACACACATATATATATAAATACCGGTGAGTGCACAACAAGCTGAAGAAAACCTACCAAATTGAGTAGGCACACCTATATATTATATATATATGTACCCTAGAAGTCCAACGACTATAATTTGACCGGCTGAAGTAAAGGAAGTTCCCTTTCAGGTCCCCTAAAGACCATTCTTTGTATCGTCTTTGACTCCCAGGGTATATATATATAAGTAAGCAACATGTATATAGTAGTTTCGCGGATCCCCGTCGGACTCCTTACTGAACCAGTTGGGATGGGAAACAGGGGCACAACACATTGAATGTTATGATATTACGTAGCCATCATTGCACAAATATGTCCCTTCATATACAGCGACTTCAGAGTAGATGGCACAGCCCGGAAGATGCCTTTTAGTGTTAGATGGGGGTTGGGTCAATATTAAAGAAAACACATTAAACTACACCATTTGAGGATTGTGCCATCTACTCTCAAAATGATGCACATGCTGATCCTTCGAGCTGCGCCAGAGCCACGATGGCTGCGACCGCCGAGAAGTAGAACTCCCCGACTCGGAGGCGCGCCACCAACAAGTCTCCGCACACCCAACTCGTGGGCATGCTCACAGCCACCTTGGATCTTTGCTTCATGTTGGATTTTAACAGGCTTCAGCCTTTAGTTGTCAAAAAGCACACTATTCGGGTATACTGGTTGCTTCAAATATGTGTTTCCAGTCCCTTCTTTGTGAGTTCGGCGAGATCGATCACGCCAGTCCCGAAAAGGGCCAAATGCGAGGGCTGCGAGGGATGCCAGACATTTGGGCGACTTTTTGCCCCAAATGCACAGCTTGAAAGGTGAACAGCATGTTTCATGAGAGGTTGATCAATTATTAACCAATCTGGGTTAGATACAACTCTCCTTCCTGCAATTGCCCAAACCAGCTCAACATCTCAACCCTGATCTATGAAATTCCGACTCCCCTGCCAAACGGATCTTTGAACACACATAACTCATAAATTACATAATCATATATAATAAATTCTTATATATTTATATATATAAATACACACAACTCAGGCAAACCTAGACGCCAGCCATCTGAAAGTGAACGTGTGCCGTCGCAAACCTTAGTGCAAAGCGTGCCAACCTTTGCACGTGTGCTTCTCCTCGTAAGCTGCGTAGCGATGATTCATGTTCTAAGTCGTGCCTTTGTCATTTCAAATCGACCTTCACTCCTATTCTTCCTTTTCATTCACGGCGCTCGGCTTCCCGGATGTGTGGTTTACCAAAATGACGCGAACTCGCGTCGCTCCAAACACGTTCGAACGCGAAGGTTCTTTTTCGGACAGTGCGAAGGTTCGCTTCTGGAGATTTTTTGGTCTCATTCTTGCGAGGTCTCAACAACCACGGCGTTTTTGATGCATTTTGGGGGTCCGATTGACCGTTCTACCAGTGATACATAGGATTTACATTGCACCATGGTGAAAAAGTCCAAGGTGTAAGTCACACCTGGAAGCTTCCTCGTTGATGGCTTCAACGAGGCCAACTTGCCATGAGAATGCTTAAAATCAACAACTCAGCCACCAAATCAACAACTCTCTCAGTGAAGAAGTAGCTTGACACAAATCCTTCCATTCCGCTCCCCAGCCGCTGCTTGACACAAATCAAACACATTACAAGCAAATCCGAGACTCCTTCTATGAGAACAGTGGCCACATCAGACCTCACACAGGATTCAAAGGCCTCTTCGCTTCCGAACCACAAGCAAATGCACTCAGAGATGATCTTCCTGTCACACATGATTTGGCTGCCCTCTTCATTCACGTGATTGGACTTGCAGCAGTGAGAATGGGCTTTCTCCATCGAGAAGTTTTGCAGCTGACTGCAGCATTCATCGATCCATCGGAAGTAGCCGCGCAGCCAATGAATGCCGTTGGCGCAAACACAGAACACCACACATGTTACAGCAAGAATTGTCTGCATCCGTCCACCGTAGTCGAAAACTACACCTTGCTTTGATTAAGCACTTCTTCTGAAACGCAAATTGGCGGTTGGTGAGAATCTGGTTTCTAGTGGCTGGTGGTTGATAAATCAAACACCAAAAACACATGAACACATGGCTGCTGAAGAGACTAGATACTCATGTTGATCATCGTCGCAGAAAGAAAGATTGCCACCGCCGTTGGACCCAAAAAGGTAGGCAGGATGATCAAGCAGGAAGATAATCCAGCACGATCTCCATGACTCTTCAGAAAACCGGCAATCTCGAAGATGGTCCAAAGCCTGGAACCACATGACGTGAATAACTCTGCCTTCTTGAAAAACTCTGGTTTTCATCATGGGTGACATGGTAGAATAGATTCAACACTGCAATAACCTTTTTGCTCATGGGGCAAAATCACGGTGACATGTGACATGCACAGTTTCTTGGCCAGCAGCGACCTTGTCACAACACATGCACAGCAGAACCGGTTGCAACAACCCGGTGCCTTGTAGTGTAGGTTGGCTCAAACAGGACCAGCATGCTTTCCGAATGCTTCAAAATTCCGCCAATGCCCTGGATTGAGCTTTTGGTCTCTCTGATGAATGCAAATCCGGTCCAAGAAGACTTGCGACTTCGACCCGGGCTGCCAAAGAAGAAGCACCAGGAGCGTTCCAAGGCACCCAGCAACTAGTCCCCATGGACCGAAGACATATGTTGCACGTTCCACGGGAAAGACCTTTGGATATCCTGGGAGTAGTCCCAAACCAAATAAAGTCATCCCCAATAGGGCTGCACACATCCCCGCCCCAACGGCAGCACGACCATTGTAAAAGACTAAGAGCATTAAAATCTTCGTCCAAGCGGTTGCATGCCATGAATGGCTCCAAAAGCAATTCACCTCCACTTCAAAGCTGCTGAACAACAACATTCAATAACGTTGTCCATGTTCACTGTTCTGCACTCAAATTGAACGCAAATCAAATACATATGTGATAATATGTGATACCTCAAAACGCTCTTGAGGAGCCCTTGCGCCTTTTCTGTGGTGGAACTCAAGTGATATAGATCCCGGTCGAAGATCCTCTCCCTCAATGCCCGGCCGAAGAAACGCAAAGCTTTGGATGGTACGGTCGCTCGCATCAGCTCTGGGTCGTTTAGATTCATCTTGGATATTTCACCTCAGACACGAGTGCTGCCAGTCTCCTGTCTTTCAAGAGTAGCAGGTCTGCGCGGCAATGCAAAGCATCACAATGTACAGTCAGCTGTAAGTTGGTGAATTGTTGTTAATCTGGTGGTGGATTAAAACCCCTAGATCCTGGCTGAACCCCCAAATGAACAGAATGGCCGTCAACTTGGTTTTGGGGCATTAGTCTATTGATCCGCCGCCAGATATGATAGTCATCACGCTTGACCAAAAAAGATTAAATATGTTGAACAAAAGACCTTTGCCAAGCTTATGCCTGAACGCGCCTGAGAGGGGTGAAACAGATATCGAAGAATCCAAGTTGCTGGCGGCATCGTAAATTGGCAGTTTCCACGCGCAGGCTGGATCGCATTCCGCCACCACTCCTTGCTCTTTGGGGTGGATTGGAGAATGCTGCATCTGGTGCAGTAGGTGAGGTGCCATGGCAAGGGAAGTGGTGAAATTGCCTGATGGGGACTTGTTCAAGAAAAGCTTGCGTCATCGAGATTCTGCTAAAAGGTGTCTACTTAACATGCACCCTTTTGCGGGAGCTGTAAAACACTGCGAGGCGCACTCAAGTGAAGCAAAGCAAGGAACCTGTCAAACAAATGCACTGACTGAAATTACTTTACTTGGATCGTCTGGTATGTCTTCTGACACATCATCTAGCAAAAAGGCTGGGAAATGTTCTGGTCTGTGTCATGCCCTGTATTTCTGACATGTTCTGACATATCTTCTGCCATCCATACGTCCTGTCATGATGTTATTCTCACACTTGTTCTGGCATTAAAGGCGAAAGGGAAGGAGGAAAGGAAGGTGGGAACACTGACATGAGATCTAGAGACCCTCACCTGACAGGCGAGGAAACAATGATATGATGTGCGTCTTTGTCGTTTCTTGAAGTTGTCATTTGATGAGAGGAACCTAAGAGAATAATGAACCGGACGCCTCAGTAACTAGCATTCATCACCAGCCCAACATTCGAGCTTCTACCATTGCCTTTTCAATTTGTTTCCTATAGCACCCATAGTTTCAACATATCTTGAATCGCAGCGCTCCAAAGCCAAGCTAGTTTCTTCCAGCTTTGTTCTCTTCCTACCACCAAACGCGGCTGGTCAAACACTCAAAACACGCGGCCACGATCTGTTCGCTTCAACACTGTGATTTTTCAGCTCAGCTCGGCATGCGGAGACTTCCTTGGAAAGCTCCAAAAAAACAGCCGCGAAGGAGGTGTATTTAATATCAGTTAAGAGTTAAAAGTCTAACTACATGAGCTGCAGAACATGGCTGTAAAATCCGCAAAGTTGTTTTTGTTGTTAGTAATACACAAAAAAGAAAGCACACACACAGAAAAGAAGTGGGAGATGCAAAGAGTGGTACGGCAATGTCCAACATCACATTCTGCAGTCCCTCCGGCAATAAGTGCGTTGAATGGGTTTGGTGAGACCATGGAAAATTGAAGAGACGGCTTGGGTCAAAGCGACGTCGAGTCTTCTGGAAGCCCTTGACTTCAAACAAGCAAATCTCCGCCACAGGTCATGTTGGTGTGTGGGAACAGGCTATGCGCTAGAATGCCTGCAAAACGGAGACCAAGGGCAAGATGTTGGCACATCTTGTGCACAAGAACACCCTTTCTACAAAGGCAAGGGTGTTTGCATTTGTGTTTATACCCCAAGAACGGAAGGTCTACAAGCAAAACAGAGTTTCACCAGAAACCACCATCAAATGTATTTCTTCAATTGATTTCAATTGGTTAAATGTAGCTATTTGCCATGCTGAGCTGTTGGACAATGGATGAGGCTCAGATTCTTAAAAGGCCTCAATGAGAATACCCGACGCCACTTTCAACATATTTTTACCCGGGTTTCTCGGGGCAATTATTACTAAAGTAGCTTGCCGTCGGCTATTCTGAGCTACTTACTCCCCAACTGGACATACTTTTGGTATCTTTTGGTGATCTGGGTTCGGGTAGCTTGCAGCAACAAAAACAGACTCTGGACGATTTGACCTGGGGTAGTTATATATTCAATAGGCTCTTTGAGCTATTCAACAAGTTCGAGCAATAGGATACATATTCAAGTTCGACTCTGCTTTTCTCAGCTGGACATTCCTTGACACTGCTCGATTCATTTCATGTTGACTTACTCAAGGCTGCCACTCTTGAACCACTGACATCTGGTCTACATGAACGGACATACAAGTTCTGATTGAATTCTCCTGGCAGGCCGCATGCTCTGATTCTGGGGTTATTTTACTCAACGTCCTGTGACTCAAACCGCTCAGATTGGAACTGGTCGTCGTCACACCGGGGCCACGGTCGGGCGCCCCGAGGCGCAGGATTCTGTGGTACAGACTGAGCACCTTGGGTGGCAACATCTCGGAATCCCATGGAATCCACTTTTTCCTTGGGGTGGGGATGAGTGTCCTACCGATCTGGACACCAAACCTAGATCCGGGACATCGGTGCCCACGGTCCGCAGTTCCGATGGAGCTTTGAGCTTGCTTTGACCGAAGAATCACCCACTTTGCAGGTGCCTCAGGTGCAACTGGGTCCAAACGCGCCAAGCGAGCACGGTCGCCAGGCTCACCACTGGAGCCCACAAGCAGGTGCCCAACAAGTCATCGCCGACGAGGCCCACGAGCACCTGGCCGTCCGAGAACTCGATTCGGCCAGATCCGTATGCTGTGGACCAACTGGAACCTGAAAGCCACCGGGTTTGGACGAGAAAAACAGGTCTTTTCAAAGGCCAATGCCCATCCGGTTCCGGTTCTGTCTCTTCGGTGCGCCCCGGGTCGTTGGGTCGGGCCGGGTCGGGCCGGGTCGGGCCGGGTCTGGCAGTCGTCACGTCGGACGGACCATCCACCACCGTCCAGTCCAAAGCGTCCAAACCTGTAGCTGGATCCATGGGTCGATCACCCAAATCCACTCGCTCCGATGACTGGTTACCACATACTGACCAAACTTGCACCGATGGACTGGAAATCAAACTCCAGTGACCAAAGGATACCATAGCGATTTCCGGAGCTAGCAACACACATATACACGCACACAAACGAGATGTTCTTACTTACATGACGTTGATGGTGGAAGGTATCCTGATTATCCTAGGATCGGCATATATAACTTTATAATGTAATTGTTTTGATCTGTGAGGTTGTTTCATGTTATCTCATTGGTTTTGCCTATCCTTCCTTTTCTCTCATGTGCAAATAAACACCTTAAAACACCCTAACACGCACATATTCTTGTTTGGAGGATTCCTGGAGCATCCGCAGCATGGAGGATTCCTGCCTCTGTTTTTGATAGATTGGACGAAAGGGAAAGCTTAGCATTTCCCTTTGATTCCAACAACTTGAAACTCTGAGTTCCAAGGGGAGTGAATAAGGGTTTGTTGATTAATCATTAATGGTCATAATGATGGAAAATGCGAGATCAAACTTGACACTGGGTGTTGGCAATGCTCGAAGCTCAGATCTCGATTTTCCCCTTCTTTATGTGTTGCTTTCCGTTCTGGCTTCTCATTGGTTTACTGGCTTGGCCTCTTTGTTGAACCCTCAGAGAGGCCTACTCACATGCATTGTTCCGAATCATGATCATAAAGTATTTATCAGGCCATCAGGGATTAAAAGCAAAAACCCAAAGACCTTCACACCGGCGCAGCACGCAATTGCAACCAGACGAGCTATTTCAAAAGGAGGAATGGTAGCTCGACAAACTCTGAGTTTAATGGCTGATAGCTCACAGCTTTGGCACCTTCAAGAAACTTCATGTCCCACAAGAAAAGAACAGCCAGGTAAGCTGTTGCTGGCTGCGTGGTGCGCCAGAACGCTAAGAACCCAAGTAAGATTTGCAAGAAAAGCATATCAAAAATAGAAGAGCAAAACCCAAATTGCAGAGTGGAACACATTGACATTATTATATATAATCTGGCCATGGCCCTCAACACAGTATCGCATGTGTCCTGCCAAGATGCTATGCTCAAGAGATAAAGAGATAACACCAAAACCACCTTGCAAAGCTGACAAACCAAGCACAAATGCATCTTCCTTGACAAATCTAAAGCAGCGCACACCCATACACGCAAACACACAAGAAACAGCAAACATCATACATGTTTATTCTCCATCCAAGTACGAACACCGTCGAGAATCAAGGGACCGCTCTGAAGTTACTACCAAAAGCTCTACAAAACAACTCCAGACCTGTCACAGCTCCTGTTTGCAGACAAACCACGACCAAACTGGCAGCCATCACAGTGACCATGTGGTCCAAGCATCCATTCGGCCTCTGCCTGCCTCGCGACGCGGCCGGATGACTTGCTACTCGATCCCCAGGAGGGGGGTTGCGTCGTTGCTCATCCAAGATCCATCAACCGGCAGAAGTCTTCCGAGGAACCGGAACCGTTTCTGATGTTCTTCTGTCATGTTCTGCCATGTTCTGCATATGTTTGGCATGTGCCACCGTTTCCGGGCGGAGACAAATGTAGAAGTTGTTCAATACTTGCTAAGGGCCAGTCCGAAAAGCACGAGTTCTTCAATAGATCATGCAACAGTTGAGTCAAAAACCCACAAAAATGGTCCGCTCGGGGTTGCAAGGGTAGCTTCTGGAGATCCCACAACATTCCCACCTCGAATCGGCTCCAATCAAATCGTCTCAGCCTAAGCCAACTGCTGCCCCTTGTTTCGCTTGCGTGTCCTTGCCAAGCAACGAAGCTTCGACGAGAGCACGAAGCATGCGAGTGCGCACACTGGAATGAGGCCCAACCACCACCTCAGAAGGCGTTTCCGACGTGATGGCTCCAGTGATGGAGCTTCCATTTCATAGAATCAACACATCACAATTACTAAAACTGGTCAAACCAAAATCCAAGCAACAGTTTTCATCTGGGTACAGCAACAGCATATGCTTGTGTATGTACAACACGGCACTTCTATCTCCAGCAGGAATCCATAGGAATCCTCACAACCCCAATTCCGTCCGCGAACACATCCTATCTATGAAACCAGTCGATCAGTCAGTCAGTCACATCAGTCGCCCCTTGATTGAAGAATCTGATCACTTGAGGAAAACACACGACAATCTGACAATCTGTCTGTCCACATCATATTTCAATCAGATTCTCCCACCAGTGGCAAACAAAGCCCGATTGCTTTTCTCCCACCAGTGGCAAACAAAGCCCGATTGCTTTCCACTGTGTTCACCGACAAGCTGGCTCTCTTTCAGTCCCGAGTAGGGGAAGCTAGCCATCCTCTGGGAAGCTTGCAATCGTTGAAACCCCGTCGTCAGCAAACACTGACGGAACCGATGTTCTTAATTTGCCACCAACCACTTCACTACACATCAGCTGACTACTTCGACGGCTTCAAAGATCTCAAATCAACTGCCGACCACATCATCTGATATAGTAGCCCCCCAAAAAGACTTCTTTGGATTGGAAAAACAACTTGTACCTGAACCAAACGCATCATCGGCACCCCCGAGCTGCGTCACTGCCTTCAACCGAGGCACCCCAGCAACACCACTCCAGCCACGATGGAGAAGTACGTCTCCCCGACTTTCAGTCGGGCCACCAACAAGTCTCCGCAGACCCAACACGTTGGGACACATGCTGCGACCTGTGTGTCAGGTGGGTACATCTGAGCAGGCGGGGAAAGAAACACGTGTCAGTCCCATCTCCCCATCTGAGCATTCAATATGTGAGGATTCAATGGTTCAGCCAGTCCCCACGTGTTCAGAAAGATGCTGGGAAAATTTTGCTCCGCCTTTTCTCTCTCCTCCCGTTTCCAAACGGGGGACTAGGCTGATCCATTGAATGCTGTAATTTGCTTCGGAGCACTTCCCACAGGATTCAGGATTATATATATATATATGGTTCTAGATGATGGGTTTCAACAGGAGGCTGCACCTCCCTTGCTGCCGAAGTGCAGGTCAAATGATCCCCAGAGCCGAACATGTTCAACTATTTCAACTCCGGTCATCACACGCACTTTGAATGGAAGATGTGCAAGATTGAACAAGCCTTGCTACAGCCCCGGGGTAAGCAGGTAACCATCTCTTGTTGATGGACAAATTCCAAAGCAATCTATGGGACTCAGCAGGCAATTTACAAACTTATTCCTTGGATTCGTACAGTTGAAAAGCCATCTGGCATATATAAATCTTTACAGATTTGACTCCCTTGCAAAAAAAACACAGAGAGAGAGAGAGACCCATGAGCGTCAAACATGCTTGTTTGTTCAATGTTCTTCTCTTTCTCTATTCCTTTCTGAGATTCTAGAGTGACTCAGCTCTCAAAGTGATGAAAAAAATGGGCAACAGCAAAAAACACATGCAAGGTGAACACCCACTGAACCTCCAAAGCATCGCTTCCAGGAATATCCACAACACACCCTAGACAAAATGTTTGAAACACAGCGGAAATCAGCAAATCCCAGATACCAGCCATCTGAATGTGAAGGTCTGCCGCTGCAATCCTCGGTACTAGAACTCACATCTACCAAGCCAAGCTCTCATGAAATGGGATTCATTCTAAGGATCAAAATCAAACATCTATACTCAATATTCCTCAATCAACCTTTCCAACCCTCAAACCAACCTTGGGTTCTCTCAATCTGCCAGGCTGGTGGATGTGGCTTTGAGCTCGCTCAGATTCGAAAGACTATGTGAATAGGATGATGTTGACACAGATTCTTTGTGTTGCTCAAGAAAACCTCATACCAAGTAAACCTCAAACCTCATTTGTCAATGGCCGTCACGCGGTCATTCACCGGCATGTCTACAGGTTAACTTTGTTTTTTTCTAAGATGCATCACCTCCTACTCAAGTTGTCATGGATTGCTATTGCAGTCCAATTACTCTGAGACTTTGAGCTGGTCCTAAAAATACGGCTACTAGGAGCAAAGGGCATCGCTACTAGGAGCAAGGACGCTACTAGGGGCTCCTGGCCGTACTACTAGGAGCAAGAACGCTACTAGGGACTCCTGGCCGTACTACTAGGAGCCAGGTCGCTACTAGGGGCTCCTGGCCTTATTACTAGTAACAATTGCCCAAAACAACTGCTCGTTGGGAGAGTCAGCATCCAGGGAAACAATGATGAAGCCTTGATTCCATACTAATTAGCATGATGACCCTTTCAGTGACAGCGACTTGTCAAAGGAAAGAAACACCAGGTGTTTGCCGTTTTCACCCGAGGAATTCACTTGGACATACAACTATGACTATAATATATATATATTTACATACACATGAGTGTTCCTTTTGTACATCCGTTTGTGTGCTTAAATCATGCCTGCTGAAGCTACTGTATCCTTTTGAGAGACCTCTTAGCGGAAATGGTTTGGGCATGTTTGGGGCACGAACAAACTAAGCCTGACAAACTAAGCCACATTTCTTGTAGAGAATCAACAATAAACAACTACTCAAGACTGTAACTGTACAATATAACATTGGGAGCCAAAAGCAGAAAGGCGGATGCAAAACCAGAAATAACACTGAGCAAATCCAAGACTCCTTTGATCAAAAGGCTGGACACTTCAGATCTCACACAGGATTCAAAGGCCTCTTCGCTGCCAAACCACAAGCGTATGCATTCAGTGATGATCTCCCTGTCACACATGATTTGGCTGCCCGCTTCATTCAAGTGATTGGACTTGCAGCAGTGAGAATGGGCTTTCTCCATCGAGAAGTTCTTGAGCTGACTGCAGCATTCATCAATCCATCGGAAATAGCCGCGCAGCCAATGAATGCCGTTGGCGCAAACACAGAACACCACACATGTGACGGCCAGAATGGTCTGCATCCGGCCACCATAGTTGAGGAGTAGACCTGTAGGTGATACGAGTCGCATGTATATATTATTCCAGAAATGTTATTATAGTGATTAGTGAAAGCTTGGTTGATGGTTGCTTGTGGTTGGTCAAAGAAAATGAAAAACGGTTCTGCTCTTTGAAGCTTAGATGCTCATATTGATCATGGCTGCAGAAAGAAATATTGCCACCGCCGTTGGACCCAAAAAAGTAGGCATAATGATCAGACCAGAAGATACTCCATCATCATTTCTATGAGTATTCAGAAAGCCCGCAATCTCAAAGATCGTCCAAAGCCTGTCTCCAAACGTGGTTTGTGCGTCCCTTCTTTGGTTGAACATGGTTGAACCTGTGAAAAACAACTAAGCGTAATTAAGAAAAAAACAAGCCAGCAATCAAAAATAACAACCTGAAACTTTTGAAAGTCTTTACAGGTATTCACTTTGAAACTGGACTCCCATGCCTTGTAATGTAGGTAGGCTCAAACAAAACCAGCATGGTTTCCGAATGCTTCAAGATCCCACCAATTGCCCGGATTCCAGCAGATTTGAGTTCTTGGTCTCTCTGATGAATACAAATCCGGTCCAAAAAGACCCGCATTGTGGAGGGCTGCCACAGGAAAAGTACCAAGACCGTTACAAGGCAACCAGCAACTAACCCCCAAGGGCCGACTTCATATGTTGCACCTTCCACAGGAAATACTTTTGGATATCCAGGGAGTAGACCCCAATAAAATAGAGCCATCGCGAACACGGCTGCGCTCATGCCCGCCACAATAGCTGCACGACCATTGTAAATCACCAAAAGCAGTAAGATCTTCGTCCAAGCGGTTGCATGCCAGGAATGGCTCCAAAAACAATGCACCTCTACTTCAAAGTTGCGGAGCAAATCCACATGTTGCAAACGACTTTGTTCGGTTTCACTGCCGCACTGAAATCAAACAAAACATATTTAATAAGCATGTATCTAGCGCATGAAAGCAATCTTGAGAAACCCAAAAGCGCCTTTTCTGTGGTAGAACTCAAGTGATAGATCTCCCTGTCGAAGCTCTTCTCCCTCAAGGCCCGGCCGAAGAAACGCAAAGCTTTGGATGGAACGGTCGCCCGCAGCAGTTCGGGATCCGTCAGAGTCATCTTGGAGATCTCACCTGAGTGGATGTCACATGATTTCAAAACTGAACAAACCATACAAAGTTGTTTTGTAAATTATAGGCTCAACAAAGTCACACAAGGCCCCAACATCTGCATTGGCATCTACAAGAAAAACGACTGTATTCAAAACATTGTGTGTATCAAATACTTCAAACCCACATCAGAATATACTGGGCAACAACAACCTTGAACGTATATAGTTATATATTGGGTATCATACTTGAGACATCATAATTGATGCTTTAACTCAGTGTACGGCAAAAGACATGCTACTGTCCAAATTTGTTGCAACAAATTCCCAGGTCGCTAGCAGCATCGTGAATCGGCAGTTTCCATGTGCAATCTTCTTGGCATTTGGAGATGATCCCTGGTTCTTTGGGATTCACCTTGGGAAGTTGCAGCTGGACCAAGCGAGGCGCCATGGGAAGCTGCCTCTTTACCCATGGGCGAGCATTTGGATCAGGTGCTTGAGGATTCAAACATACTCAAGATCGATCGATGCAACGTCGCATGTTGACTGCAAAGTCCACCTACGTCTCTTCGCTCCGAATGCGAAAAAAACAACGTGCTGTGAATGCACCCGCAACGAGACCTGCAGTGAACACCACCTGTTTGGGCTTCGGGAAGATGGATCCTTGCGGGGCCATGCCGCCCACGTAACCATGATTATTTCAGTACCATGCAACGCGAAAATGCATGTGACTGAATGCTCCGGTCTGAAGGTCGCCCGTCATTCCGTCAGGTCGCCCTTTCACGTCGCGAGACTGCCTTTTTGGAAGGAAGGGTGTAACCACCTGTGTCTTTTTTTCCAAATGACCTGTCTATATCGGTTTGGGATCACAAAGAAGGTCTGTAAAAGGTCACTTCAGGACCCCAAAAAGGCACTCTGAAGAAGCCGACTTCAGGGCCCTGATCGTTGCAGCTTTTCTGCTCTTCTGATCGTTGCGGGGCAGCTTGCTGCTCAGCCTTTCCGGAAAAAAATCCAGCGGCCCCAACAGCCTGGTGAACTCGCACCGCTCTTCTGCAGAAAATCAGATTCTTCTGGCATCGTCTGGCGAAGATGGCTGTGAGATGAAGAAGTCCAACTAGCGACCAAGGAGGAACGCCAGAAATTTTGCAGGCAAAGAAGTGATCTCCATCTCCGTCTTGCCTTATATACTGCTGCAAGACCCAAGCAATCTACAGGTGATTCAAGTGGCTCCTGGCCCAAATGCGTTGAGCCAACAGCGTTGCCAGACCCAGGACGAGCGCCCAAAGGCCAGTTCCGATCAGATCATCTTTGGCGAGGCTCGAGAGCACCTGAGTGCTGCTGAAGAAGGTGCCGGTATGCCATCGGTGCAATGGAGATGCCAAGGTAGAGTCTTGGATGTGGTGGACACCACGGTACAGTAGGTTCTGGTAGGTGTAAGGTCAACGTTGGATCCTGATTAGTACAAGGGATCCCCCCTCTAAACCCATGAGGGACAATCTATTTCAATTAAACAAATACCACCAAATCTGGATTTCTGGGAGGATCTATTTTGCACTTGATTGCTGTAATTGTGTTCCTTTCATAGATTGTGTTCATGTTCCTTTCTCAGGTTCTTTGTAGTTATTCTCACCCTCAAATCTTCAGCTCAAAAACAGTTTTGAAGAAGAACCCAGAAAGGATTCAGTTTTTCACAATTAACAACCCATCAATCAAATCAGGTGCCTTCCTGGTCTGCTTGAAATTTGTTTAGGAACAATCTTCACATAAAGGATTGATAAAGGATGGATAAAGGAAATGATGGCTTTGGGAAACTGTCAGTTTGAAGAAGAACTAGAGAAACCTATATCACTTGTATATATTCTATACAGTAATTACCATTGCATTAGCAGTATTAAGATCTCAAGAAGGGATGTACTAAATTGTTCATAGTTGGCATGGGAAGGGAGGGGGAGTGCAGGTGGACAGGGTTCAGAAGGACTCATATAAAACCCTAATAGTTTCTGGTAGCAAACAGTTAGGATCAAAAACAGTTGGCACAATAGATGAATCATTAAACAGGCATGAATTTATAAACTATGATTGAACAATCGCATTATTGAAGACCCATTTACTAATCACGATCCGACATTAACTTAGTTGGCGACTAAGTTCAATGCAGGTTACCGTTACGCTTTTCATAGCCCCATGTCGCACATGCTACCAGAGGTATTGCCCCTCCAAATCTTGAACATCTAGAACTGCATGGTAGTGGGACCATAACTAAACATGCGGTTGGACCCAACGTCTTCTAGTCTTGATTACCATTTGTATACCGAAACCGCTCTCGACACATCACCTTGCGGGGCCACTCTGCTCAGGAAACATCAACTTAAACTGCCAAAAGGTCTACGAGTCTACCAAAAAAACATCGCAACTTGACCTACCCAGGATCTCACCACGGAACTCAGGGGGCCAAGTGGAACTCACCACGGAAATGGAATGATCTCACCTTTTGGCATGGGACGCCCCTGGATTCTCATCTCATCTGACATTGTCTGGCAGGCTTTGACGAAGCCAAGACCGGAACGAGATGGAACGAGTGTCTTTCCAAGGTACTATTCGGCCGAAAAGGAGAGGCATCAGCAAGGCCACCTCCAGCAGTCGAGTCCGGCGAAATAATTGGTTCAAAAATTATCACTTGGGAACAGCTCCTCTCTTCAGGTCCAGGCCACTACAAATCCAGCCCCCATGAAGGTCACGATGTGGTCCAAGCACGGATTCGGATGTACTCTTTGATGACCTTAGAAGTCCCCGTTTTGGAAAGCTTCGTTTGGAGACAGCGCATTCCAAAGCCAAAAGTTCTCCAAAGGATAGACTCGGATAGACGTGTGCACCACATCTGTTGGACGAGGCTGGACTGTGGGCCGGGCTGTTGTCATTTTGACAGGAACTTGTCTCCAAACAGCATGCGACTCCACACAGCATGAATTGGTGAATGGTGGAGAGACCAAAGTATTCCACGTGGAGGGATTGAGAGAGATTATATAGCTGTGAGATACAAACAATTTGCCTGAGCGATTTCACGCCATATTGTGTGTGCGTGGAGGGAACTGTGTCATGAACCGTTGGCCAAAGCCCTGTGCAAAAGGACACAATAATCATACGCTCTCATAGGTAGAAGCCCAACAGTTGCAGCATGTTGCAAGAGTGCAACGGAGCTTGTCACAAGCTTCAAGGGGTGTTTCTGGAATGTGGTGGTTGGATGGTCCACTACATGTAGTGAGTGGAACAAAACCCATAGGAAGTGTGGCGACACTGGTGATGCAAGTCATCTCTACCTCTCGCTGGAAAGTTCTTCCTTTGTATATAGGGCTCCTGAAAAAACAAAGAGTGCAATGAACGAACATGAATAGAAACATGAAATAAATTGAAAGGATACATCTTGAATCTTGAACAGACTGTGCTTGTACGAGGCAAACCGACAAGACTACACACAAACCCTCCACGCTGTACCCTGAAAAATCTGAATGTTTGGGTATGACCGATATGCCCGTACAGTAGCCAGTCTATTCTGAGCGCAAACCAAGGACCCCTCCCCCAACATGACCTGGCCCAGCAGCGAAGCTTCGAGGAGACAATGAGGCATAGGAGCGTGCACAAGGGAATCATGAACAACCACCACCTGGTTTTCGGCGGGCGTGAGATGCCATTCTGTCTTTGAGGTCGGAGTCAGAATCTCAAAATCAGTGCGTGAATTCCAGAACAGCTGCAACCCACTATGGTGCCCGGATCCACAAATATACTTCAAGCATCTGAGTTCATGGACATGTCGCGCCGATCGTTCATCCAGCGGATGCCTTGAGCTATCAACTTCTTGCTAGAGCACGTGTCATGGTTTCCGAGATCCTCTAGGTCGAACAAGGAATTGATGAAACGTCCAATGTCTACTTGCCCTACTACCAGGATCTATAATTAAGGAGTTCCAATGTTTCCCATATAATGACTTTCCATAGGACCGGGTTGCCAGAATCTCCGTACGATCAGGTTTCCATACGACATCATACGACCAACCACACTTTCCGAACAAAGTCGAAGCGAGTCCGAACCATTTCCACCCTCCCTTCGTCTCACTTCAATCTTCCTCATCACGAGGTACCCCAGAAGCACCACGACGGCCACCATGGAGTAGTAAACCTCCCCAGTTCGCAGGCGTGCCGCCAACAGATCTCCAGAGACCCAGCTCGAAGGCATGCTCACCAGCACCTCAAAGCGCTCCAAAACCGCCCACGCTATGCCCGGCCGGCCCCGCTCAGTCTTGGGGACACCAGGATCCCTCCAGGACCGGCCATGAGGGAACGGGGAAGAAGATGTGATGTGATGTAGATTTACTAATGTAGACTCATGATTCATAAGCCGGATTTAGAAGAGGATTTCCAACGTGAAGAGTCTTCCTATTTAGATGAGGATTTACTCTTCCTATGTGAAGAGGATTTCCATTGGGGGGGGTTATGAATCAAGAGGATTTCCATGACGGAGTGACTTCAAAGTCCTTAAGCCTGATTGTGACTTCGTCGTTCCCAGGTCATGAGTTGTTTGCTTTCGAAGATCAGGTCATCAGGTCGAAGGATGTTCTTCTCTGCTTCAGTTTTTGTTGATGGTAGAGAGCGGAGAAGGTTTGCGTTTCAATCGAATTGAAGACCTTCGAGCCTTGCTTCGCATAAAGCTTCTCAGCTTCCGGACAACGCAAAGCCGTCAAAGGCAAGGGTTGTAAGTCCAACATCTAATTCAAACAACGGTTGGTAACAGGCCTGACGTCTTTGTGACCGTCAAAAGGCCAAATGCAGCGCTGGCGGGCTAGCAAGCCTCTTGTGTTGAACGGCAAATCCCAACTTCTCTAGACACAGCCGGCAGGTTTGTTTCTGCAACTTTAGTATGCGGTGATTGCTCCCAAGGTCTGATCTCTAGAACATCCCAAAACGACGCATGTGAATCATTTGCATGCATCCTTCAATGTGATTGACAAGTTCTTGTT